GGGGGTGACCTGCTGTTGATTCATAGCTACCCTGTTGCTGTGGGCTAGACCTCTCTCAGGCTGATCCAGTGATTTCGGCTCAGGATAATAATGAAGTGAGACGCTCATAAACCATTCAATACTCAACAGCAGCACCACAAATTTACTTAACAATTGGATGGAAAGAATACAGCCCCACTTCAGCTGGACATAGCCTGTGTGTGTGCACCCAGAGTGCCATGTTAGAAGGGTGTGTGGGGTCAGAAGTGATTCACGGGGCTGTGGGCCTCAAATCTGAGGGGCACACTCTTCCCATCAACAGCTGGAGACCGAGCCCCCACAATCTACTGCGGCTCTTTACCGGATACTTTGCAGCTGTGGAGAAACTCGTGCCCTGATGGTGTCTTACTTCATGAACTTCTCTCTAACCACCCCCTCATACTGCCTTGTTGCCACATAAGGTCCTATCCCTCCACATCCCGGCCTCCCAGCCCAATCCACTGTCATTGTTTCTGGATGACGCGTGTGGGTCTGGTCTGAAAATGCCCCTCCCAGGCTGCCCTTCCGTTTTTGTAAAGCCTTAGTGCAGCGCCTGGCATGGAGTATGCACTTAATAAATGCTCCCTCCTTTCGCTTCTTCTCCTTATGTGTTGTCTCTCCCATCAGAATCTCAGAGACTCCGCTTTAGCACTTAGAGGTTCCTGGTTGATCTATTTGCCCTTGGGGAAGCTGCCCTTCAAATCTGGAACGGACTCCTCTGCCTCATCTGTGGAGGTCCGTCCCTTTTTTTTTCAAGTTCCAATTCAGGGGCTCCTTCATGAAACCTTCCCTCGTACCTCCCCAAGAGAAGAAAGTGTTAGCTTTTCCTTTCAAAATTTCTCACTGCAATTCACCCGTCTCCCCCTTGCCCTCCCACTCTCTTTTGTGTCATGGTTGCTGGGGTCTATTTTTTCCCCTAGATTACAATAAATCTCTTTAAGGACTGCGTGTCTGTATGATGTCAGGACTTAATGTGTGTTGAATGAATAACTGGTCTTTTTGACTGTGGAAGTCCATGCACTAAGTACAGGACGCTGCTACTATCTTTCTAGTTCCCTCTCCAATTAAATGGAAGACATCTTTGTAACCAGAGTGAAGCTGCTCTGGGTTAGATGAACGAATCAATCAGCCAGCATGTATTAAATTCCTAGTAGATGGAAGGCAATATGGTAAAGGCTGGAATGCCACAGGGAGAAGCAGAACTGGTCATCTCCCCCAGGAGCTAGCACAGCAGACGCTGGTGGGGCAGACGAGGAGCAGGCAACATCAGCTGGGATCGGGACAACGAGGCAGCTGAGTTTAATCAGGGATCCCTAGAGGAGGAGGAGAGCTGGGAACACTTTTTCCTGGGGTTGGCAGCTGATGTGTGGTCGGCAAGGACCAGGAAGGTGGCCAGCTTCCCTGGACTCCAGAGTTTGTGGACGGCAATGGGGAGAGGTTGTCTAGAAGGCCTGGCATTTATAAATGGTCCATAAAAACCAAGGAAAGCTAGGGGCTCCCTCTGGCAAGGCAATGATGCTAAGAACAGCAACAGTATCATCATTTTACATGGAAAAAAATATCCTTCCATGATTAAGTGGCAAATTAATAGTGAAAACAAGAAAAACAAAAACATTTACCAGCTTCTGTTACTCTTTTTATGAGAAAGAAATCCCTGTCAGTAAAGGTGATTAGCACATGCAGCTCTGGTCACTGAGTGTTTGCTGAAGCACACGAGGAAGAAGAGGTGAACAGAGGACCCGCAAAAACCGTGTTGGATAACATTTTTATTTCCATTCTTGCTAGGACATTGCATGTTTTAGTAAAACATCACATGAAGAAATAATCAACATTTGCTGAATTAAGCTGAGAATAAATTTCTATTTTGTGAGTAGCGTTCGGTGATATATTAATAACAAAATACATCTGATATGAATGTGCAGTAAATTTACAAAAATAGCACAGACAGAATCCTCCTCCTCCTCCTGAATTCATGACTTGGACTTCAGCTTAGTCACTGGGTAAAATTCAACCCTGGGTTACAGAATTCCATTTTCTCCGGCTGGATGCTGGGATGGGTCCAGGCCTACTTTCTTCATTGATACTGCAATATCGAACAAGTAGTCATAACATTCACACCTGTAAAAGAAGAGCATGGAAAGAGGGAGCTTGAGGGACTTGGAGAAATCTCGCACTAGTGACCTACTCACGCCTCCTCTCGGCTCTGCCAAGGCTTGTTTTTTAATACATCTTTTCCTTCTGATCGTTGGGCAGTACTTGGTCCCCACATGTGAAACTGGAACAAATACTGCTATGGGACCAGTATCTTTTTCTCAGCCTACACGGGTGTGTTTCATATGTCACTGTGGCCAACACGTCCTAGGGGCCCCCATTCTAGTGATCCTTTCTTCACGTCACTAGGCTGGTCCTCTAAAGCAGGTGTGTCAAACTCAAACAGAAACAGATCCCCACAGGCAGCATAACAACTTAGAAAACCACAAATTCACATTATCTATGTTGTATGAATTTTTTCATTTGCTTCATTAAACATTTCCCAATTCTATTTAATCTGATTCAGGCAGCACTTGGGAGTTTTGCAGCACACAGCAGGCCTTGAGCTTGATGACTCTGCTCAGACAAAGCCTGCTGCTGAGGCTGTACCTAAAGCCTGTGAGTTTGGCAGGACTGGCCAGAAATTGCACTCTACTGGCAGAGCCCAAGAACCCAAGGTCACTGCCATGCTATTTCAATGGAGCGCCTGAGCAGGGCCAGAGAGAAGCCCCCATCACTCTAGGCAGATCCTTGATGGACAGATGGAAAGGCATGGACAATAATAGCAAAGGATGAGGAGGTATGAAGGGTTAAAGACCATGGAATAACTGGAGGACAGAGAATGTACAGGGGATGGGAGCTCCAAAGACCTGGCGAACACCTACTGGTATGATGCATACATGGACCAGAAACATGGCACAAAGAATGCAGATTGAAACAAGTTCAGATAGGAATTCTCCATTCCTTGACTTTTTCTTTTTTTTTACAAAAACATCTCTGATCCGCTGCCACCGTGCCTCTTCACCTTCCAATTCCTTTTGGTAGCGAGGAGGACAAATCATGGCTCAGAGATGTGAGAACGAATGTTTGAAATTCAGTGTATAACGTGTAGTTAACCATTCTGAGCTTTAAAAAAAGATTTCCTCCCTCTAAAACAACGATGATGAACAAAACAAAAACCTCAAAGAAACCTTCCCTGGCTCCTAAACACATATATTTATACACATAAACATGTGTTTACATTTCTATGTAGTTTTAAATATGTTATTTCAAAATTTACAAAATTGTTTGGTTTTTTTGAGGGAGGTATTTGCTTTTTCATGATATTTCATTATGACAAGGAAAGGATCCTGGGTTCCTGAAGGATGCACTACTGGAACGTAAGCTTTGGTAAGTCCTACTAAGATCAAATGTGACCTTCAGAGAAAGTCCCAGTAAAGCAATGATGCTGATATCCTCATCAGTATCATCTGAAGATCAGACTAAGTTTTGAGAAGATCATTATAGTTGGTCATGAGTAAGAAGATTTGGGGCCACAGCAACTAACAAAGGTCATCTATTAGGATGAAAAGGGATTATGGAAGGAGGATCTGCACACCAATGAAATTAAACACCCTTGGAAGTATTAAGTGAAATGTTTTGTTTTTTTTTAGAAAAAAGGTACACAAACAAACATTAGGTGTTTTTCACAAGAAAAGACAAGTACTACTTCCTGAACACTTTGTTTTTGCTATTGTCTTCACATAGTGTTCTTCGATAAATATGGCAAATCTGGTAATTTTTGATTAATAAAAGGTAAACCTCTAAGAATAATGAATTACTTAAAATATTGCACATGAAATTCATTATCCACATATGCTGTGATATGTAAACAGATATTTTAATATAAGCTTTCATTAATTTTTTCTTGAAGCCTTTTGGGTAATTAATAAGTTTGAATCTGTAAATTAAGTCTGAAATTTAGTTAAAGACATCTCAAAGACAAATTAGCTGATAAAACCCTAAACATCGAGCAAATGACCGAGAAGGAAAAGATCTCTGCCAGAAATGGATGGCTAAGCCTAGAAGAATGGCTGATGCAACAACGTTGGCCTGGACTTAAGCAACTTAAATTCAATGGCTTTACAGATGAACTGAGAACTTACCTTACACATGAATATAAAGCATTTGTTTTTAGATTCCCTTTTAAAAATATATACATGAATACATATATCAGTATTTTCCCTGGTGAGTTCCCCAAATTATTTTTGATTGTACTCACATGGTTTTAGCTTTCTCCCATGTTTCTCCCCAGACGTAGACCCCGTGACGCCTGACTAACACAGCACAGGAATCGGGGTATTCATTCATTGCTCGGGCCATTCGTTCTTTGAGGTCCTTTTCCTCAGGTGTATTCTCAATAATAGGGACCACTAACATATCATCATATCTACAAGAAAAAATAGGCAACATTTTTTTTCAATTTAAACAAGTTACGTTCAGTAAGAAAAATTCTAATATTACTTTACAAGTTGTTTTAGTCAGAGAGACACTAAGTCTTCATCCTTGGGAAGTCACTGCCAAACTCTCTGTAAGCAAGATGTTGCATGTTATTCCGTAGATTTTGCACAAAAATCTGTACCAAAATGGGCTTCGGATTTTGGCACTGGTCTAATTTTAAGTGTCAGAAACTTGTAGAGTATACCACAACCCAACAAAGAAACCATCAAGATCGTACAGGCATTTTCTTTGAAGCACAGATGAGTACAGTATTTTAAAATGAAGACGGGAAATAATAAATCTGAGGATCAGAAGCACAGAAAGGATTAGTGATGGAACTACTTATTAAGTAGAAATTTTGAGACAATACAAAATTTTCTCCCATCTTGAATATTTGTAGGATCCAAGGAACCTTGGAGAGATAAATAAAAAATGAATGCTTGCAGGGTTAAGCTTTTCCATTTTTGTGTTGATTCGTTTTCATTTGTCTGACTCCCTATGACCCCATTTGTGTACCCCTGGCCTCATTACTCGGTCTCTCTCCTGCTTCTTTGTTCCTTGTGAATTACATTTACTTCTTTATCAATCATCCTTTTATGTGGAAGCACATGTATCATGCCCTTTCCAGGTCCCTGAAGGCCAGGGAGGTACCTCACTTAACATGTCGAAGCAAGAGTAAAATGCTTAAATCTTACACTGATTATACTGTAATAACAATCTCACATTTACTTAGGGCTTTTAAGGGTTAAAAAACACTTTTCACATAACCACCCTGTGAAATAAAGACACCTTGTGTCACTCAATATTTATCTTATGAAGATTATGCCATAAGAGAATATTATCTCTCCAATGTCAACAATTGGTATAGACACTGAAAAAAGCATAAACAAAAAAATGAAATTAAACTACTCTAAGAAAATAGCTTTGAACACATATATCCCACCAAATAAAAAAAATGAAATTAATTGTAGAGTGGCACTATGGAGGCTGGCGGGTAATCCAGATCACTCTCCAATTTAAGAACTGGATTTTTTTGCTGCTTCACAAAAAACTACACACACACACACACACACACACACACACACACACACACAGGTCTTAGTGTTCGCAATTTGCTGTGTGAATTTATAAACCACTAGAGCTTGACTCCCCTCAAGAAGTCAGGGTAGTTTTTAAGGATATTTGGTATAAAGAAATGAAATCTGAAAAGGCATCGGTAATAAAAAATGTAATCTGTATCACGAAATGCCCAGCTCGCACTGGCACTGTGTATATGTCTTCTGTGACTGACATTCAACGTCATTAGATATATCAAGTGTTAAGAAATATCTGCTGACTGATGCTGAGTGAAGTGAGCAGAAGCAGGAGAACACCGTACACTGTAGCAGCAACACTGTGTGGTGACCAGCTTTGATAGACTTGGTTCTTCTCAGCAATGCAAGGATCTAAGACAACCCCAAAAGACTCATGATGGAAAATGCTGTCCACATCCTCAGAAAGAACTATGGAGTCTGAATGCAGATCCAAGCATACAATTTTCTCTCTTTTTTAATTTTTTCTTTCTTATGGTTTCTCCCTTTTGTTCTGATTCTTCTTTTACAACATGACTAATGTGAAATATGTTTAATATGATCACACATGTATAGCCTATATTAGACTGAATGGTGTTGTGGGGAGAGTGGGATGGAGGGAGGGGGGATAATTTAGAACTCAAAATCTTGTAAATGTTGAAAACCAAAAATAAAGTAATTTAAACAACAAACAAAAAAACAAACATTGCTTCCTCTCATAAAAAAAAAAAGAAATATCAGCTAATATTCTGTGCCTTGGTAGGTTTTTTTTGGGGGGGGGGGGGGAGGAACCTAGGGGGTGGTGTAAGCTTATTTGCAAGGACAACTTAATCGGTGTTGTTCTTCCAGAAAGGTTATATCAACAGAGTATGTGTCAGAGTATACAGCAGATCACAGCAAATGTTAAAGCTCTGCTATGGGCCAGAGTCACAGGCTGTGTGTCTGCCATCCTCAGTCAGAAAGGCTGATCACTGGAAGGCTGGGCACCCAGGGATGAACTTTCCATTCACAGAAACTCGTGTTACTTCGTAAAGTACGGGGAGCTGCTCTCAGTGCTCTTGGAGGGCATTCTCACTCCAGTGAAGTCAAAGATCTTAGAAGCATTGCAGTGCAGACACTGAAATATCCACCTAACTTAATTAAGACAACTTCTTCTGGGAAGACAACTGGATCTGGAATAAGGGGATCTAAGCTGGAGTCCTGGCACCGCTCTTTACCTTTACCTTTTGTATTTACCTTTGTGACTTCTGACAAATCTCTTAGCCTCTTTTTCCTCATCTGTAAAATAAGGAGGCTAGACTCTAAGATGACCTTGAAGTTTCCCTCAAACTTAAAATTTCATAATTTTTTGAATAACTTCATAAACATAAGAGTGCTATTGAAACATTATGCAAAGAAATCCCCATTTGGCTTAGCTCCATTGAGAATTTATCTTCAGGCATTTGATAAATGGCATATATTTTAACATACACACTAGAATGTTTTACCAAATGAAATAGCTATAATCTAATTTAAAAATATACTACACTGGATAATAGGAGATAGGTGTTTAAGTTCCAGCTAATCTACAACTCACTATGTGACCTGATGAAAGCTCTTTCCTTTAGTTTTTCCTAATCTGTAATGAGGGGATTAGACTAGTTTGGAGGCTTTTAACTGAGATTCATGATCTGCTCTCCACCCTAACCCACCCCCACCTCCACCCTCACCAGGGGGGTCTGTGAACCTGGATGGGAAAAAACTAAATATTTATTTTCACTAACCTCTAACCTTGTGCCTTCCATCATTTACAAATTCAGGCAACAAACCTTTGGAGAGCAGGTATGTAGGCTTCCTCTGCCGTCTTTTGACATTAAAAAAGGTCAAGAACCCCTAAACTACGTGATGAGTAAAGTCCTTTCCAGCCCAAAGATTCTATGTGAAACTTACAAATGACAAGTATTCTGTTTATCAAAGTGAAGAAGAAATACTAAATCTTCTAAACAGGAAGATGTTAATACCTGTAACACCCTCCGGAGGTGCACTTTCTGATTCCTTTTATCATCTCCTGATGTGTAATTTTAAACTCCCGTCCTGGAAAGAGAAGGGTAGCCATCACAGCAGCCTTAGAATGAGTATGGATCACTGCTCCTGCTCCTTAAAGCAAAATAAAAGATTTCTGGTTAAAAATAATTTCTCAAAAGCTATATTCTACATCTATCACCAGTTTTTATGTTGTTGCTTTTTCTCTCTAGCATAGTTTACTAGGTTAATAAATGCTGGGGGCATGGGTTGGAGGAGAAAGATTTTTAAAAATCAATTGTTTATCATACTGAATGAAGAATGAGACGCTCTATTTTACTCCAATAAAGTTTTTTGCTGGAGGCACCACTACACTGAAGCACAAAGGATTGAGCTGACATTTCCTGAAGACCTACTGTGCGTAGACCATAAATGGGGCTGGGGGAGGAAGTGAAATTTGTGCTGGCCTAAACCAGCTGTTAGTCAACAGCTGAGGACTGCAGCGAGTCATATTCTTGGCTCTGGTCTAATTCCTGTTTCTAAGCATAAAAATAATCAATGGGCAATAACGCTGCCTGGAAATAGCTATAGAAACATATCCTTTGTATCACACAACTATGGCACTATACCACGTTATGAATAACTCTATCATTAGGGTTGGAAAAGTGCTCTCATTAGAAACCTGCATTTTCGGATTATCCTGCAGACTAAGCCTTCTCAGGTCTGTTGTCCACAGAAATTCATAACAACCAAAATCTGAGAGTCGATTTTAATTCCCAAGACTAAAACCTGCAACATTTCATAAGTCTTTAAGTCACCAACGAGCTCAGAGACTGACTCTCTTCTGTGAGAGGGCTTCTTCTAGCAGAACTGGTTAAAGGGCCTCCTCAAAGGAGGAGCTAGGCCTCAATTATGTTTCTAGGTGACATTACTGCTCCCTAGAATAACCAGCTCAGAGGATCATTTGGGTCTAACCTTTGCATATAAAAGGTAAGGAGAGCAAATTCAAAAGACATCTTTTGAAAACTTATGCCATCACACCTAATGCCCAAATTACAGATCAATTAATCTTTTTTTTTCTTCCCCAGATCAAGTAATCTTTGAGTCAAAGCATTTCCCACATACCTCTCATAGTGTAAGCATTCATAAAGAGAGGCGTACACTGGCTTTTCCTTAGATTCTTGTATGGTGGAGGTCCACTGATGTCCTGTTCATTTATGTCACAAACAAACATATCTTCGGGCTGTTGGAAGGAAAAAAAAATACTCAAATTTTTGTTGTTTTGGGGAAATAGTTCTGTTGTATATGGAAGTGATGATAATATATTGCAAAGGGATATATAATAAAATTAATCATGCTTCTGTTTTCATCAAATTTAACTCCTGAATTTAGTCCACCAACCTCCCAGCCACATAAATCTATAGATTTAATCTCAAATCTACTTTTCCTCATCTATGAATCTCTATTTCAACAACAATGAATACAAAAATCAGTACTAGGAAATCTCTACTTAAAATGAACCAAAGCTGACTTTCCAAAATTTCAGTCTGCTCTCTACCTCTGAAGTCTTGCTGATTATCTGAAGATAGAGACAAAGAGAAATGACACATTCTGAAATGCAGCTCGAGATCTGTGATCCTAAATACGCAGAGACTGCACAAGGGGAGTCAATAAGCTCCGGCAAACGTGTGATGAATTCCTATTTTAGAAATCCAAAAAAACCAAGAAAACATTCTGTTTCTTTATTCTTTTATAGAAGCTGGCAGACCTGGAGCTCAAAAACTGGCCCTCTCCCAGTGAACCTTACTAAGGCATACTCTACATGAAGAGCTATTCTCGAAGCTTGAGCTATCAGGACCACAGGGCTTCTGAGGAAAGCGTGTTTCTCAGTAAGGACTTAGCAGCACAACTACAAACGTCCCGTTGATGAAATAGCTTCCTTTCTTATTTTGGCTGTAAAGGGTCCAGAACTGATCCTCTACTGGGGTCTAGGGTGCAGAGTTAACATGCATATACACGTGGATTGGGCTACTACTATGTGACAGAGAGAACTTTTACCTGTTAAGTATTATTTGTTCTTTCTTTTTGCAACTGATTTCAGGTTTTATTTCCTGATTCAGTAGGATGGAATAATCTTGCTAAACATCTATACCAATTCCTCTAATTACAGAAATGTCTTCTATAAAGAAACCAGAAGTAAAGCTTGCAGGGTTTTTACTCATTGCTGTCTTTAAGTACAAGCCAATTACCAATGGGCTGAATGACCACGGAGGAGGTATAATAAACATTGGTCTTAGATATTTTAGGCCATTTGAGAAAACAGTCTAGCATAATTCTTATATTGCTGAAAATGGCACTAGGCAGTGTAACACAAATGTATATTCACAGATCTATCATTATTCTGATTTCAAAATGAGATGTTCTCTTTTGTCTATTAAGTAAGGAAGGAAGAAGTTTTGAAATGGTAACGATATATAAAGCATACTCACCACAGAGCACAAAACTAGGCATGGACACAGTGCTCAATTTGGCTATTTTTTAATTTTTAGGCAAGGACTCAAAGACCTGAGACCTGAGAGAGACTCCATACACATACCATTTCTAAAGCCTTAGAAATCAATTAGACCAACTTTCTCATTTTATTATTTTCAGTTTCTGCTCCACAGGTGATCCTCTACCCAAATTAAAGTTTAATTACTCATATTTCTTTAAAGATTTTGCAAAACAGAGATACTGACTTGCTATTTCATATGCAAATAATGAAATTTAATATATGCTTAATAAATCCAACACAGACTCTCTAGTGTTGTAGATCCCTCCTTCCCCCAATTATTAAGGCAATTACTGATTTGTTGTATGCTCTTTCAATTTTATTTTTATTGGTTAACTATATCTTCTTCCTCCCCCCTTACAAAGCAAGACATTTCTTATGACAAAAATTAAAAAGAGGGGAAAAAAGTTGTTTACCCTTTTTCCTCCCTGCAAAGATGGCAGGGAAGTATATGCTCTTAATTCTTTTCCAGGTTGGTCATTATAATTACACATTTAATTTTGGCTTTGTCTTGCTTTCTTTCCATCTACCCTGTTGTAGTCACTGTGTATGTTTTCCAGGTTCTGCTTACTGTACTCTGCATCAATTCATATAGATTTTTCCATGCTTTTTTGAATTCTTCAATCTGTCACTGGTCACGGCACAGATGTATACTATCCTCCATACACATACCATAATTTGTTTAGCCATTCCCCAATTAACAGCCATCTACTTTGCTTCTACCTTTTTCCTAACACAAAAAAGCAATAGGAATACTTTGCTATATAAATCCTTCATTCTTAAGATGAAGAAATGTAAGTCCAGTGGCAAAGTCAGGACTTAATACCATGATGGGGCTTCTGAAGATTATATAATAGAATACAAGATATGGCAGACTCTGCCAAACTAGAAATAGAAAGCCTTTGCCATATTGGTCTGGTGATAGAAAGCTCTCTGAAGACCAGGCTAAGTTTAGAGAGGCTCATAACTAGACTGGCCACAGGGGGAAGAATTTTTTGGCTACAGCAACTCTCAGAGACCATTTATCAAACTATATAGGGATTATTACCTATGCTAGTTAAAGAGAGTACCCCCACTGAGAAATCCATAGATCTTTTATGTTCCAAGGTAATTTCTTTGGTTTAAAATGATACCTCCATTAATTATTTAAAAAAAAACAACAACTGTTCTTTAGCAAAAAGTCGAAAGATTTGTGGTAAGAATTATCCCTTTATCTTACCTGAATTCGTTCTTTTTGCACTCCTGATGGAGCAATGTAGATTTCATTGCTGTAATAGGAATCAGAAATTTACATATAACCTCATTTTTTTCTTTTGTGTACATAAAGTTTATCTTTTCGTAATCTTGACCTTGAATGTTCTTTGTAGCTTGAAACTCTCTACGTATAAAATACTTGGGTAAGTAATTGCTTGCAATGCTAAATAAACTATTTTGAAGAAAAAATAATGCCAATCCATTTCACAATCTCAATATTGTAGTTGAGGCAATCTTGTGTACTTGTGTTTTAAACATGTGCCAATTGGAAGAAAAACCCTTTAACTTTTAAATGTTAAATAAATGTGTTCTACGTGTGTGTGTGTGTGTGTGTGTGTGTGTGTGTGTGTGTGTGTGTGTGCACGAATATTTTCCCTCAGGTCTTTGAAAGGTAGCTCGAATCCCACATTTTACAAACTCAGTGATCAGTTGTCAAAGTATGCTCAATAAAAGTGATTCACATTTGAAACTTTAGCAATAGGTGGATTTCACACAATCTTTCCCTTAATTTTAGTATTGAGAAGGCCTTAAGTGTAAAAATATGAAGTACAGAGACCTCTAGTGTCTGGTCTGCCTAAGTACAGCTCTATTTCCTGCTTCTTCCTAGAGAAGGGAGAACATTTTCTAGGACAAAACACGGTAATGCTTTGAATATGGAAGAACACTTGTTCTCTGTGTCAGGAATACTTGGAAAAAGCTATTGGGGCTACCTGTGACAGTCACTTCAATGACTAATGAAGCTAAATTAGTAAGTTCCTATGTAGAAATAGTTATTCCTAACAACTGGCTTCCTTCAAAACCCCTCAACTCCCACCTGCGAGAGGCTCTCCTGGTCCCATCCATGTTTAGCGTCTTCCGTCTGAGATTACTACCAGTTTGACATGGTATGTGTCTTGTATGTATGTAGCTGTTTGCATGCCGTCTCCCCATTAAAATGTGAGCTCATTGAGGAGGAGGGCTATTTTCTTTTTTGGGGGGTATCCCCGGCCCTTAGCACTGTCCCTGACATACATCAGGTTCTTAATAAATGCTTGTTGGCTGGATGACTGTAGAACAAGGAACACAGGAGTTTTTTTTCCCAGGAAAAAATGCAAATCCATAAGCAAACAGGCACACATTCTATAGACAAAGTTTCACATATGTGGTTTTCAATGCAGATGCTGTTGAGTAACAAAAAATACAAATTTATTTAAAGTATTTAATACTATAACTACTGGTGTGTGTGTGTGTGTGTGTGTGTGTGTGTGTGTGTGTGTGTGTGTGTCTTAATTTTTTTTTAAAGCTGAGAAATCCAAAAAATCTAGAATCCCTGCTATAGCAGAAAGATCACTCAATTTGGCACCAAAAGGACAGGGTTCAAGTTTTGGCTCTGCTACTTATTAGCTGTTTAACTTTGAGAAAAAACTTCCCTTCTCTGGACCTGTATTTTTCTCCTCTGCAAAAAGAGAAGCGTGACTTTTCCCTGTGGTTCCCACCAACACTCCATCCTCTGATGCAAATGGGGGGGGTTCTTTTTTTCTCTTCTTTTGTCATCACTATTGCTAGCTCCTTTATCCTTCCCCCAACCCTGCAACCACCTCTCAATGTAAAAAGAAGAAAAAAAAAGCCCTTGTAACAAATACATAAAATCAAGCAAAATAAATCCACACAGTGGCCATGGCTGAAAATCCATCTCTTTCTGGACCTGGAGGTGGTCACCTCTGAGGTAGCAGGTAGCCCAGGAAATCACCAGGGTGCTAAAGATGTGGCTGGCCACTGCTTTCATCAGACTTCTTGAGTTTTTCCAGCTTATTTCTCTTTGTAATGTTGCTTCTGCCCTCTTCATTCTGTATCAGTGCATACAAATCTTCCTAGGATTCTCAAAAATCACCTATTTTTTTTTTTTGCCAATTCTTAAGGCCCAACAATATTTCATTTATACATCATAATTTGTTTAGCCATTCTATAATCAGTGGGCACCCCCTTAGTTTTTTAGTCTATAAATACTTTTGTACATGTGGATTCTTTTCCTTCAGTCTCTTTAACATTTTAAACGTTAAATAAATGTGTTCTTATTTTGTGTATATGTTTGCATGTGTCCGTGTGTGTGTGTGTGTGTGAATATTTTCCCTTAGGTCTTTGAAAGGTAGCTCGAATCCCACATTTTACAAACTCAGTGATCAGTTGTCAAAGTATGCTCAATAAAAGTGATTCACATTTGAAACTTTAGCAGTAAGTTGATTTCACACAATGTATTATCTTCCCTTTAATTTTAGTATTGAGAAGGCCTTAAGTGTACAAACATGACGTACAGAGACCTCCAGTGCTTCTGCCCTTGTAGTAGCGGCTTCCCACACTAGGTCAAAGGGCATACCTCTAAATTGCCTATCAGAGAGGTCTGACTGATGCACACATGATCCATGAGTGCAGGAGTGTACCTGCCCATGGAGATACTTGTTAACAACTGTCATTTTCCGGTCATCTTTGCCAATCTGATGGGGATGAGGTGGAACCAGCTCATTCCAGCTCAGGAGAGGGAATTGTTAAATGATCAGTATGAGTGTTTACACCTTGGAAATTGGCAAATGATATAAGTCAGGATTTGATCTATTGTTTTGTTGGTTGTATAATCTTAAGAAAGTAATGGAGAAAACGTTAATAAAGCAGGTTAAACGTAAAAGTGTACTGTGGGTACCTCTTCTTCCCTGAATAGTCAGTTGTTAAATATTTACCAGAATGTCCCTTGTATGAGGTGAACGTGAGTTGTGTTTTTTATTTTCTTGTTATTAGTGATTTGGAGCATTTTTTTTCACACAGCTACTGAAAGCATGAATTTCATCCTTTGAAAGTTCATATATAATTCAAATCAATTTAGTTTATACCTAGAATATATGACTTTTTTCTGAGAAAGTTGCTGGATGGATTATTCTTTTTCCAAGTAAAGTATTTCCATTCTAATTTTTACCTGCATTGATTTTGTTTGTGCAAAAGCTTTTCAATTTTATATGGTCAAAAGCGTTTGGAGTCTGCAGATTGAAGCACACTATTTTCTCTCTCTTTTTTGTTTTTTCTTTCCTTTTTGTTCTGATTCTTCTTCGCAACATGATTAACGTGGAAATACGTTTAATGTGACTGCACTTATATAGCCTATATCAGATCGTCTGCTGCCTTGGGGAAAGGGGTGGGAGAAAAAAATTAGAACTCAGAATTTTATAAAAGTGAATGTTGAAAACTAAAAAACAAAATAAGACAAAAATAAAAACAAAAAAGTGTCCATTTTATATCTTGTGATCCTTTCTATCCCTTCTTTGATCAAGAACTCTTCTCTATCTGGAGCCGTGAATTATTTCCTCTGTTCTTGTAACTTGCTTATACTTTTGCCTTGATGCTCACTGTTTTGCCTTACGAGACATGGAAACAATTCTAAAATACTATCTATAGGACAATGACCTAATATGTGCTAGGTCTTTCCTTGCTAAGTGAGATACATGCAGTTTTGGGAATGGACCCAAATAAAGAATGAAACTGTTTGTGAGTCAATAGCCCACAAAGTAAAAAAGAAAAATCTTAGTATCATCCTGTTTATTCAAGTTATTCAGTAGATGAAATCTGACATCACTACTGTTCTTTCTCATATGGAAAGCTGTCTATATATTTATAGACTTTATGATTTTGAAAGATTAGTTAAATAGCTTTGGGAAAACTTAACTTCACACTAAGAATACTCCATATAAAAATACAAAGGTGACAGTACTTTAATTTTAGAAGGAACCACTAGCCAAGTGTTGGGGAAAACACCACAACTAAAGTGTAGTTTTTTCTCTGTGCAATAAGATACTACAAAAGGAAAAAAAAAGGTTTTGAATTCCTAAGTATCACTTTCCACAGTTTATCTTCTCTAGTGCTGACTCTACAATACATTAATACAGCAGGCAGGGTAACAGAAGTCTGAAGTCATAATCTGTTTATACTCAGAGGCTTCTCTTTTCTCATGTATTTTCTGATCATTTAACAGTCATTTTTATTCCTTTATTCCTAAATTAGCTCAGTCACTGGTTTAGTGCCTGCTAGCATATGGGCTTGGGATAATCATTTCAATAACTGTATTTCCAGGTAACTCTGCATGAATATCAAGAAGGCACTGTGAAAATATAAAATCCTATTTACTTTATGAGGTGATATGCTATAATACAAAGACGATTAGAATTGGAGACAAAGGACATGGTTTTGAATTCCAGCCCCACTTCTAAGCTTCCCTAGTCACTTTTCTTCCCTAGGCCTGCAAAGAGGAGTAAAATGGAAGGTCCCTTTTCACTCTCAAATTCTATGGCTAACCACGTGCCCTGGGCAGGCTGGCTACTGAAGAAGAGCCTTGCTTTTACATGATCCCTCTGCTCCTCTGTCACTGCCTATACGGTTCAGTCTCTCCTGGAACCTTGTCTTCCAAAGCATCTTTTCTGCTGCTTCTAAAAACATGGTGCATGAGAGTCACACTATTGGGACTTTCTGCTGTGAGATGTTTATGAAGTGCTAGTGCTTACCACATGGTAGGGAAGAGTTTGAACTTTTTCTTAGAAGGCTTGTAAGTATTGGAAAGTATTTGTAAATTTTAAAAATCAATAACTAATATCATAAGCTCAAAGGCTGGTTCAGTTTGTCAGCATGGTGCTACTGGGCTGTTAGGTTAGTTTCAATTTATTTCAAACACAAAATTTTAAAAGACTGGATTTGAACCAAAAGCCTAAGAAAGTCATACAGATTAAAAATGTTGATAAATATATCAGCATCTTTGGGGTTCATGGCAAGGTTAATGTCAAATGTTGGCAAACATCATCAGTGTGCCCCATAAGTTTGCATTCTAGCAGGTACCATGTAGGGATGTAGCAAAATTAGAGATTCATTTCCTAGTTCGAGCTCTAGGAGGAGTTGTGCAACCATTTACCACTGTATTAAGGAAAAGGCCCAGTCTCAGTGACATGGGGTTGACTAAAGTGTTAAAAAAGGGCTCAGATTTAAAAGCCTCCTGTAGCAGGAATTTGTGAGAGAGTTCAACGGAGGGCCCTGGCGACACGGACAATTAAGAAAAGTGAAGCTTCTGCTGGCAGAGAGCAAACTCCTTCATAATGGATCAAAAAATCTTACTTCCTACGAATTTCACCTGTGCCTCAGGTGTATCTGGGCATTTCTTCCAAAGGCAGTTTGAAGAGACTGGTTTCAATGGGTTTTGGTAAAAGAAATGTCTTACTAGGCAAATGCAAAGCAGAATTCTTCACACACACAGCAGCTTTCTAAAATTATGTGATAGATACCATTTAATAATGTAACAGTACTGTCGAGTCAGGACATCTGTTACTGTGACATTGTCACAACTGTCTCTCTGTGGACTATGCCACAACATGGACTACAAAACGTTGCCTGAATCGAGTCACATTTGTACATTAGATTCACAGTAAAACCACAGGCTTATTCAGTCAATGAGCATTTATTGATGGGTGGAGGAGGGTACAAGAAGTTGGGGAGAATGGACACATCTTCGGAAAGACAGGTGAGATGTGGATAGTGTTCAAGCAAAGACTACTGGGAAAGGCTGGTCAAACAGTTTGGAAGAGAGCCAGGGCTGAACATGTCCAAATACCTTGGAAGACGTGCATCCAAAAGGAGTGGGTGGTCAGTGTCCAGGCACCAAAGGGTTAAGATTCTTTTTTTTTTTTTTCCTTTTCTCTTTTTTTATTTTTAGGCAATTAGGGTTAAGTGACTTGACCAGGTCACACAGCTAATAAGTGTCAGGTGTTTGGTCTGAGGCCGGATTTGAACTCAGGTCCTCCTGACTTCAGGGCCAGTGCTCTATCCACTGTACCACCTATCTGCCCCCAATAAGATTCTTAATGATCAAGAAAAGGCTATTGACTTGAGTAATAAAGAGATCATCAGATCAGCAGTGTCAGTCAGGCAGCAGGCATGGAAGCCCAACTGCAAAGGGATACTTGTGGAAGGAAGAGGAAGTAAGGATGTGGAGGCAAAGGTACTGTAGACGGAACATGGTCCTTTTGAGGGAAAAAGGTCAAAAGAACTCCTTGAGAAGAGAGACTGAGGTGGGAGCTATTATAGAGGCCTCCTCCAAGTCCTAAACCTGACACATAAAATCCTTCTACAATATTCTCCAGCCTGTGTCTGTCTACTTAAGATGGGAAACTCACTACCTTAAATGGCCATCCAAATAATTCTTAAAATTTAAGAACCTCAAATTTTAACAAATTTTTCTTTATACTGGATGGAAATCTATCTTCATGTTGTATTCCAGACAATACTTAGCAGAGCCTTGACTATAGGAGGCATTCTATGAATATCCATAGGATAAATTAACTTCAATTTTGGTTCTCCAAGGATTAAAGATTGAGGTATTCCTGATGTGAAACTAGTGGACAAAGAGCATACTTGGAAATTTAATCAGCATTTTTTAATATTCTGTGCCCCTTTTGCTTGTGCATTATTTCTTTGTTTTATGGAACTACATGTGCATAGCATACACATAAAGTGATTCAGCTGGGCATGTGATGTGGAATATGCACATGGCTGGATTTCAAAACTGAAATTAGTCAATTAACTTACCCATGCTTCAAGCTAATTCCTCCTCCAGTGCCAGTGACCCAGCCCAAATGGTAAAACTGTTTGCAGAGTTCTGGAATCAGATTTCTTGGATGTTCCTTGTCCTTAAGAGAAAGAGGGAGAGGGGAAATTATTTTTATAATCATTCTATCATGTTCTGTTATCTAGAAAATAGTGTACAATCTTTTACAGTTCCCTTAATCAATCTTTCTGGTGCATTTTATGTTTTCTAAAATGGTCTATAAGAATCTACTTCCTATCAGTATCAACTAAAATGGATTAATGACTTTATGAAAGACAGGAGGCTCAGGTAGATATAAGGCCTACATATTAATGAAAAGAAGGGTCAATTTTATATAGAAACATGTCACCAAGGCCCCTTCCTCCTTTGGCCGTTTCCTTGAAAACTCTTTCTGTGCAGCACAGTTGCCTAGTCTCTGCACTCTAGGCTTTTTGTTCCTTTCCCCCCATCACCAGAGGGCTCCAAGCAAAGCTTTTTGTTGAGGAAAAGGTGGAGCTAGATTGAGGTTTCATTTAACTTGGGGCTCATGAACTTGTTTTTAAACAAATGTTTTGGTGACCTTTAACTGTGAATTACTTTCCTTTGTAATCTTAGGCATTTTACTATGCATTTAAAAACATTATTTTCAAAAGGGGTCCAGAGGCTTTACTGGAAAGCCAGAGGGATCCATGGCACAAAAAAAAAGTGAAGAATATCAGTACTTGGTGGTTTTTTAGGTCTCTTCCAACTATGAAATGCAATTCTGTGTGAAACTCAGTGTGGCAGAAAGTTCATCTCTTGGTGTCTCAATCATCAAGAGCCACAGTCTCCAAAATGGTGGCCAGAGCCTAACCTCAAGCAGTGTATGATCAAGAAATATGGGGTGGAAAGATGGGTTGCATCCCACCTTCCCCACAACAGTCAAGTGCAAAGCTTATTTCCAAAACCACTACACCTACCCTCATCCTCAAATTTAACATTGGTCCCTCAGAGGCATTATAACTTAGGTACCCACAGAAATGGCTGCTTTGCCACTGGGAAAAATTCCCCCATTTTAGCATGCCAAATATAACCCTCATGACTGAAGCAGGCACCCCCTAGGAGCGGAGATCCTTCATTGTTTGGTAAGACCCCCATCCCCACCCCCCTTTTTGTTTTGGGTGGGACAGAGTAAGTAGTACAGGGTGAGGAGACACAGATGGGTATTGATTTGGTGCCAATCTTATTACACGATCTACACCTTCCCACCAAACTCAATCCTGTTCCAAATCCTTATTGTCAAAGGCAGAGGGGGGGGGCGAATGGAGGACTGGGGGAGGTGCCCTGTGGCGATCAGATTAATGGGAAATATTTAACAAAATAAGTAAAAAAGTAATATAACATAGGTAATGTTCATATGTGGTTTTCTAAGTTCATATGTGGCTGGTAAGGATCTTTATGTAGAGTTTAGTGGCCCCTTTTGCTATTTTTCATTTATTTATTTATTTTTTTGGCAATTGGGGTTAAGTGACTTGCCCAGGGTCACACAGCTAGTAAATGTCACGTATTTGGTTTGAGGCTGGATTTGAACTCAGGTCCTCCTGACTTCAGGGCCAGTGCTCTATCCACCATGCCACCTAGCTGCCCCATAGTGGCCCCTTTTGTATTAGAGTTTGCTCCCACTGCTCTAAGGAGCTATCATCATTCTAGTGACACACTGCAGTATGTACCTCAGTTTCATTCTGACTTCTTCTCCCTTTTTACCCTACACATCCAATGAGCCAAGAGAACTAACTTCTTCCTCCACAAGATCTTTCCCACCTGTCTTTTTTTTTCTGCTTCCACACCACCACCTTGGTTCAAACCATTTCTTAATTAGCCCCCCTGTCCCAAATTTCACCCCCTCTCCGAACCATCCTCCACACAGCTGCAAAAATGATTTTTCTAGAGTGCTGGTCTAACCATGCAGCTCCGCTACTCAAATGCTAGTGGTTCACTACTGATTCTAGTATCACACATTTTTATCTCTTCCTTTTAAAATGTCTACTTTTTATAAGTTTTTAATATGCATAATTATCAGTACAACACTACTGCAAACAATTTATAAATAAATATATGCATAGTGAGGGTGAATGCTAATTTTTTTTTTTTACTGATAAGAGTGACTTCTCAAAAACATCTGGAGACAACTGCTTTAGAACTTAATTCTAATTCCAGAAATAAACCTCAAAGTCTGAACAGTCACAGTCCATGAACTGTGGAATTCTTTAGGAGACGTTATTACTCATTCTTCAGTCAGAAATTTAATTCCCCACACAGTAGTAACAATTTTGGTAAGCAGATCTGCAACCTAAAATAGATGTGGCAGATATGGTGGACTGAAAGAGGAATGTGTATGGAAGAAGGCCATAGGCTATGGGGGGGACCTGTCTCACAGTGAGAAGGGATTGAAGAGTCAGAAAAATTATGAAAACAGCATTCTAGAGCCATTTAGTGTAGTAGCAAACAACCCTATACACCTAAATAGCTCAAGTCAGTAGGAGAACTCATTTACATTGACCATGGGTCATAAGAAAAGATCAAATTGAGACCTCTGTGCTTTAAGAAAATAATGAAGTGTTAATAAATTTTTGGATTAAAATTAAGTGGTTCAGTAGCCTGGAAAATTAACTTATCTGCAACACTAAATTCCAGGATGGATAGGAATAGGGATAGAGATTAGACCATATTTCCATGCCTTGGTTCATTCTAAGCTATTGACAGAAATAGTAGGACCATCATCTCTGTAAGTATCTTCCTTCAAGGGTCAATCAGTCTAGGTGACACCTTCTTTGTGAAGCCTTCCTGAGGCCTCTCCAGATGCTGGAACTCTCTCTTTCTCTCCTAAATCTATCTTGTAATATATTTATTAGCATACATGTTTCACCCTGTAATAACAATAATACTAAGTAGCATTTATAGAAAGCGTCAAGGTTTAAAAGAACTTCACAGTCAGTGGCTCTCAGGGAATTTCACTGTTACAATGTCCTTTGGCTTCCTTCAATACTAAACATTTGTATGGGAGCAAATGAGGATCTCTTGATGTTTTCAGAACATTTCTGTAAACTAGTATTTTTGCATTCTAGGTATCACATTGAAAGGTAACCATTCCATTAATAATTAATAATAATGATATTATGAGTTCATTCAGGTGTTGTGAGGGACAGCTGAGGTCATGAAGATAAAATATTGTTGGGTAATAAAAACCAAACTATCTTCATTCTAAAAAAATAATAATAGCAACTCACATGCAAACAACCCTTGAAGGTTTGAAAAGTGTTTTCCTCACAACAATCCTGTGAAGCAAGTCATGCAAATACTCTCATTTTACAGATGGACAATGACCTGGGAGGTTAGATGTTTTGACCACAGATCACGTAGCTAGTAAGTTTCGAAGGCAGAACTTCAACCCTGATTTCCTAACTTAAAGCTCAGCACTTTACACATTGCTACATGGCGCACAGCACAGTGTTTAATGTTTTTTGACTGACATTGTATTATGCCTAATACACCATATACTATATTACATTTAACGTGTAATCCCCAAATTTCTAACATTAACATTAGCCAAAGGAATTTGCTTACTAACTGGGCTTAAAAAGGCTTTACCTATGTATTTAATCTGAGAATTCAGTGACACTAATTGAACAAATCTGTAATACAAATCACTAAACTGACACCGTTAAGAGTCAAAGGAATCAAACAGGCAATAATAGGTCAGGTCTAGTGAATCAACTAAGGAAGGCATATCTTATTGTTCTCAAACTTTCTGGTCTTAGGTCCCCTTTGCACACCTAAAAATTATTAAGGCCTGCCTCCCCTAAACCCCCACTTTTTCTTTATGTAGGTTATGGCTCTTAATATTTACTGTATTAGAAATGAAAGTGTCTTAGTATTATTACGAATACAGTTTTGACCTCCTGGATGGGCTTGACCAGGAGGCCCTGGACCACACTCTGAGAAAGTCCAAAGTCCAGGAAGATTGAAGGAGGATGAAAGTGAGCAAAGATCCCAGAAGAGGCAGCTCTGAGGTGTGATCTCTAATACTCCCTTGCCGTGGGCTGTGGATAATGCGGCCCTTTAGGGTGAATAAGTGTTTACCTGTAGAGGTAAAGAAAAGGTGCTTTATATTAAAGGTATAATCAGAAGGGTCAAGCACTTCACAGACATTTAAAAACTGATTAAAATGTACTTTTCTGTAAGTCAGGCTTAGTTTTTAGTTATAATGAAAAAAATTTTAAAATAAAACTCATTTTCCTGAGATGGTAGAAGTAGGCATGTAACAGGTAAAATATATAAATATATAATAAATATATGTATAAATATATATGTATATAAAATATAATAAATGATAAATATATACTACTCTTAAGAAAAATTTATATATGAAAATAGAATATTGAAACACAGAATCTTATGAGTTAAGAGGGGCCTTAAAGCTCATTTAGCTTAATCTTTGCTCAATTTCCCCTAAAACATTCATCCTGTGAAAGGAAATACTTAAAACTGAAAACAACATAATTACTTTAAAAAATTAACACAGAAACCATGCTGAAATACTGCAGCTAAATGTTTTTGCTCTCCAGTCTATTTAAATGTATGATGGTAACATAACAAATTTCTACAGAAATGGTTTGCTCATCTTTTTTCAAATTACCCAAGATTAATTTACCCTTAATTGGACTGAAAATAATTCCATGTGCTTTGGAATTAGTGATGCTAGATAACCGTAAAATATGGATTTTTAAAATTCAGTGAATGATGTTTTATATTCCTGAACAAATTGATGGGGGAAAAAATGAAAGCTTCATCAGCATCAAGGCAGTGCTATGGTAATTTCTAAGTAATACTTTCAAAAAACATCAGTTACTCTTGCAATATAGCACTATTATAGAAACTCAATTTCAAAATACAATTGGAGAAGATGAAATTGTAAATTTCTGCAAATACATGGTTATTCACTTACTGTGAAAACAGTAACAACTGCTGACATTTACAGAGAGCAGACAAAACATTTTTCTCAAAACCATCGATGAGGTAGCATTGCCAACTATCATTAAAGCTATTTTACAGAAGGGGAAATTA